TTTACAATTATTCTTCCACTAGTACTGTCATCTGCCAATCACATATATTAGATGCCCATTAAAATGGGCATCTATGAAAGAAGGAGACTCAGAATATCCTTCTTTCAGTTTAGTTTATTTTCTTAAGGGAGAAAAAAAAAATCCAACACCACAACATTTGCAGATAAACATATATGTTTGTGCATATATATGTGTGTGTGTGTGTGTGTGTGTGTGTGTGTGTAAAAGATCAAGGTGCTAATGATGGAAACCACAGAAGGGAGTGTGTCAGCAGATTTATTCATGCCATAGGTCTTATAGACAATAGTCATTGTTTCAGAGTATTATCAGAGTCTTATGTAGCGATATGTATATAAACCGTGATAAGATTTAGTTTTGCTTCAAATTCTAATGATCCTTCCCCTAACAATGAATTTCATGTGCATCTCTTTTTCTTGAATCTGAAACTATGGCATGTATTAAGCCTGCCTACAAGTGTGCACACTTATTTGTGTATATAAATCTCTTTTGTGTGAACATAGATGAATGTTACAGTATCTTCATCTATTTTCAGATGCACTGAGTCCCTGAAAGATTGACTTTTAATCATAGTGTTAGATAATATCATTCAATTCTAAAGTAGTCATGATATTTTTTTTTCTTTTCTCTCTTTTCCTTTCTTTTAAAATTATCCTACTGGAACTAGACTGAATCTTGCATTTTCCTTGAAATAAATAAATGGTAAAGCTCTGTAAACAGCAAACATTTTTATGGTGCGGTGAAAACATCCTGTTTGAATTTGCACAGACAATATTTATGTTTAAGGACTTATCTCTGTAACATTATTGACACATTTGGATCAATACTTTTAAAGGTTTCTCTTTTTTTTTTTTTAATATAAAATGCTGGGATGATTTGTATGTTTACCTTGATAATATACACTTGTCTCTTTAAGGTGACAGCAGATGGTCCAATAAGAAGTGGCAGAACTAAGTGCTGAAAATATAGCAGCCCATCTCAAGCTCCCTTAACCATAAAATCTATGAATTTATGCTCAACTGAGCGATAAGACATACTCATGAAATGTCCAAGGGTGAATCAGGGTGGTTGGAAGTGTACCTATTTCCCCTGCACAATGAGAAATTGTTCAATGCACTGTCTAAATGCACACACAATATTTAGTAGCTTTATTTATCAATTAACTGCTTCCATCATGCTCAGCCTTTGTACATCATAGTGGGCTGCCCAGAATTGCAGTACTATTTTGCCTTCTAGGTTTCTGTGGGCTGTTGTGTTAATGCACATTTTGTAGCTCTCCAAGGTTAGTTTAATACTGGCATTCCAGCGTGAACAGTTTGATAGTCTGGGGATTAAATCTTCAGAGGATGTAAGTCAGTGCATATCCGCATGGCATCACAGTTTGCATCACAACACCATCAGGTTCACTACTTAACACATAATTTCAGGTTATGTGTGATTTCCCAGACAGGACTTTATCCTTCTTCATGTCGGTTTCTGTCTCTCTGTCATTCCCTACACTTCCCATTTTAGGTTATATTCTCTGCTGCACCTGTTCCACAACACACAGCCAGACAGAGTACCAATGCTCTGCTGTGTTAATCAGATGAAGAAACTACACCAGAAAAAATATTCTAAGCCATGGGTTTTCTTCTGAACCGTGCTAAATCAGTTCCATGTCCTCATCCTCAAATGACTTCTGCTATTGAACAAGCCAATTGCAGATCTGTTCCTCTACAGAGGAACAGCAAAACCATATTACCTGATTAGCCATTACCTCTGCTGTATTTGTTTTCACCATCCTTAAGCTTACTGGAATGTAAAACTGTTGCCAACATCATCCAGATCAAAGATCTTTGGACACACAAATGAATAAATTTTATTTTGAAAAAAGTCAGTGTATTTTCTGCTCAAGTTCAAGGAAAGTGATTGTACCATTTGGTGTGAATAAAGCAGGCAGGCAGACACAGAAGATCAGCAGCCAGAGAAAGGGAAAGATGCCATCAGAGAAAAGGGACTACTTATCATCCTTTTCTGTCAAGACATTATGGGCCTGGCTGTGATGTAGCATGGCCATTTTCTGCATAAAGTTAATTTAAGTAGCCCAGGACAGATTAATCCCCTGCAAGAAATAATTCCTGCTTATTCTCCAAGCTGCCAGTGTAACAGAGGAAAAGAGCAGAAGCAAAGGGAGGAGGTGGGGGCTGTTGTACCTAATGCACTCTATCAGTCCTCAGTCCAGGAATCTGAAGTAGCCGCATAGTTGAGATTGTTACAGTTATTTTACAAGTGGAGGGCTTGGGAAAAAAATAGTTCAAAGGCTTGAACAAACCAAAAAGAAATCACAAACACTAGGGAACACTGGATCTCCATTCTTTGCTTTCTGAAGGTAGGAGCTGGAGACAGGGAGAGAGAATATGCATAATGTATTTTATATGCAAAACACAGTACTGTATAAAAACAAAGATCACTCACAGTTTTGCCATACATATATATAGCATAACATTAAAGAAATTGCTCATCAAAAAAGCGCAGCGATTACACAATAAAACATTTTGAGCAACAGAGATATAGCCTGGGCCATTCTCCAATGAAGAATTTTAAATTAACTAATGCAATTATTTTGACAACTGTAATTTCAGTAAAATTAAAATTCTTGGTGTTGTATTTCATCATTAACACATGGTTACAAGAGCCATATATGTCTCCCTTTATATTTGTCAATGGGTTGTTCCAGAATGATACAAAAATATCCTTACTTCCTCTAGTTGCAATTTGCTCTATATTTGCTCATTTGCTAGCATGTGAAAGAACTAGTTTTGAGTCTGCCTTTGTGATTTAGAGTCGAATGTAGTGTTGTACAGGGTCAAATTTTTATAAGTTTGGTAGTTGTGGTAGACAAAAATACATCAGAAAAAACTGTATATCTGCTTGAGCTATTCAAAAAGAGTATTGCATATTACAGCATCCAAGTGCCTCTAAGTGACCAGCCCTGGGTGTGTGCCACATTGCTGGGCTGCCACATCAGTTGTGTGCAGTCCTTGCATGCCCCAGTACTGAAACAGAAGCTCTAACCCTTCCCATTGCCCCATTGCCCCAAGAAGTCATTCTGACAGACCAAGTGCTGCAGAAGCAGGTTGTGCAGCTACTTTTCCCTCTTTGCACATCCATTCCTTACCTTTTTCCAGGTCTGTGACTAGTGCAAATCCTAAATGAAGTTTTTTCAAATGCTCTAAAATCTCTGTAAAGCCATATTCTGCTAGCTAAGGAGGAATGAAGTTTTAGCTGGTAATCTTTCACTTTTAGTGAACTTTTAAATGAGCCAAATATTCTCAGCCAAGTGACCATCCACCTGTGGAAGGGAGTAAAGGTTAGTTCTATTGCTCTTCAAGGTCCACTTTGCAAGTTTCAGACCTGCAGATCCAAATTTCAAAGAAGGAGGTACTCAGGATGGAAATCTTTGGAAAAAAAAACAGCCAGAGGCCACAGGAAAAGCCTTTGAGTAAACAAGGGGAATGAGAGACAATCTATCCCATATGTCAGCAAAGAAGTTTCCTCTCAGAATACCTCAGGTACCAACAGATAATCCATCCTACGCGTCCATTTCTTGTGTGGCTTGGGGCAGAGACTGCGAATGTCTGTAGGATGTCTCTTCTGGTGGGCCACAATTTGAAAATACTCTTCCAAGAAAAACATCTGTGATCCCAATAGAAGCAATCTTCCTACTCAAATGTCCTTATGACATTACAGTACATATATTTAAATCACTGAAGTTGTGACTATCCTCCCAGCTTAGGTGAATATCTATTCTCCTGGAGTCAGGCTCATTAGTAATTGCATCTTCATTCTATGCAACAACAGACAGCAGAGACTGCTAGGATAGTTATCTGCTGCTGTCTGGTATGTAACAACACTGGTTTTTCAGGCCTGATTAATTAATCGAAACTGAGTTATTAAATTAACTTCAGTACTTTCACAGAGCTCCTGAAAATAATTTTGAAAGCTGCAATGGGTATTTTTAAAATAACATATCTCTTTATTGTGAAGAATATAAGAGAAGTCATGTAACTATTAGAGACTCAAATTCCTGCTTTAACAATCTGGAGGGCAATCTGTGCAACTTCTTTTCATGAAATAAAATGATGGTCCTTGGAGGAACAACAGGAGGATGCAAGAGAACTACTCACTTAAATTCTTACATTAAATAAGCTTAAGAATAGAAGTTTGCAAAACTACATATCTTCTATAGTCCAATCATAAATTAAAAGCTGATGCAGAACAAGCAAAATGAAAACCCAATTTTAGTCTTCATTTTGTTCTATTCTTTCAACATTTTTAGAGACATTTAAAGCTTAGTATACCACTGATAATAAAAGCTTTTGAGGAGCTTTACATTCCTAACAAAACCATAGCTTTTACTAAGTCAGAGATACGGAGGAAAAATTATTGTGAACTGAGTTAAACTGTGTTTCTCTTTCCAGCACCCATTTACTAACAAATAAATTGTACAAGGTAATGCATTTGCAATTCCACTTTGCCATATAAACCTTATTTCTTTGCAGTTGCAGAGTTTGGAGTCCATTGATCCCTGAAAGCTGTTTTCCTCTCTTGCTGATATCTTTTTAGTTACAACATTTTAGTTGCTTGCAAGAATTAGCCCCTTTTGCTGCCCAGTCATTACCACAAGTATTAAGCTGGTGCTTCAGTATTTTCCTAGGTGTCTTTTTTTTGCTCAAGAGCACTGTCTTCCTGACCCTCAGCACACTTGGGTAGTCCTAAGCTCTCTGATTACCAGCCATGGCCAGTGCAAGTGGTATGGGTGTCCCTCAAGAGTTCCACTATGGGAACATGAAACCACGTACTTCTGGACATACTCACAGCATCTTTGGAGAAAACTGATGGTTTCCTTTGTGATATTCATCAGAAAGAGAAAATCCCAGCTGATTTTACGCTGTGGATTTCCTAAGTGTTATTTTTCTTCACTGTCCCTTTCTTCCCACCAGGTTCCCTTCCAACTCTGAAGAATAAGAATAGCACCCACTTCTTCCACAACCTAACACACTGCAGTCTGAGCTCCTTGGCAATGCAAACCAGTTCCTAGCATCTTTTCAGGTTTGGAGATTCAAGCCTTCTTCATGAGTTCAACCTTGTAAACAGTGAATGGGATAATGTTGATGATTACTTCTGATTGCTGGTCTCTCCTTTTTGTCAAACATAACTCATTTGAGTTTAATACTGCTGTCCTTTCTGCCTCTGCTTTTCCTGGGTTTTTTTTTGTTGTTGTTGTTAGGGGTTTTTTTTTGTTTTATTTTGGTTTGGGGGTTTTTTGTGTGTGTTTTCATTTTTGTTTTTGCATCTTTGTTGTTGTTGTCTTTTTTTTTTTCAGACTGGCTGAACTTTGTCTTTTTTAAGATAGGCATGTAATTCCATGGGATTCTTTTCTGAACAATGCTTCACTTTCAGTAGTGCCCCCCTTTAGCAATTTATGGCCCTAAACTGCTGTGTAAAAGGACACAACAGTCCTCTCCATGTTGTCAGCAGGTTCCTAATGTAAAGATATTCTTTCTCTCTGGTTTCACATAAACTCTGGTAATACAGATGCTTTAGTCCTTCCTTCATCATCTGGGACCTCTTGTCTCCAGTACTGAAGCATGCCCCAGGTCTCACTCACTGCCTGCTGCAGTGAAACACACATATGCAGAGACCAGAGCAACTTTGTTCTGGAGGCAGAGGTCAGCCCAGAAAGCGTTTGGCTTATGAACATCTGTGCTTTGTGAAGAACCTGACAATGTAAAGCTTCTTTCTGTTCAGGATGGTGCTGGAGTGAAACCCAAGATGAGGCTCCATTGAAGTCATAGTGCCTGTTAATATAGACGAATTTTTGTGTATGCTTAAATACTTCCCTCAGCTGAGCTAAAGAACATAATTCTCCTTTTTTTCCTCTAATAAATAAATTTATTTTCTCCTGTACAATTGTCTGTCTCTCTATTTTATCTTCTTTATTGTTTGTGTTCATCTCAAGTACTGTTCATATTGGTTTTTATTATTAATTTTTCTACCACTTTATCACATGTTAGAGGGGGATATGAGTGGATGCTGAACAACCTGGTATTGGCTTTAACAGTAGGTCATAAAATAATGTAATGCTCTGTAGAGATTCAGGTCATGCCTTCAATTGAAGATAAAGTGTTTTTTACCTCTATCATGCCAAGAAAATTAATGTAGCCTCTACTTGCCTCTCTCCACCTTGGCATCCCTTATTAAACTTAGGGCAATTATGATCTGAACATTTTTAGGATGACAAACATCAGGGATCACCTGAGGTTAATGTCAATTAATAGGTTGTGGCAGTTATGGGGTAACTGGCAATTTGGATGAGAAAATGAAAGAAAAAAAGAAGCAGGAAAAGGTAGAAGGGGATAATATTGTATGGCTTAGAAACCAGATATAAAAGTTAAGTAAGCACTGATACTGACAAAGGAATCATTAGGAGTTAAATTCCTTAGCATCTGTCAATCCATGCTGTTATGTCACACTGATAACTGCAGCACATGAACGACGGTGTCTCTATAGCCAATATTTCATTTTCATCAAGGAGTTTCACTGGGCACGTGGGAGCTGTCAAGGCCTGGAGAGGTGATCCGTCAGAAAGATGTCTGCAGCATTAAGTGTTTAATGCTATTTTAATAAGACCAGGAGCAAATGTTTTGTAATTCTTGTATATACCTGTGAATGGCTGTGTAATGTTTTAAATGAAATGTTTTAAAACACTTCTTCCCTTCTATCTTCAGGTACAATTGAGCCAGATCCTTTACAGACTTAATTTGCCATGGTTCTTTTGATTTCACCAGGATTGTGCCATCTGAAGCTGAGACCCAAGAGATTTAATATCCTCTGAGTACCATATATCCTGGAGAAAACAGATTTATGTAGAAAATGGTTTTCACCGGGCATAACATACTGTGAAGGGAAAATGAGAGACAAGAAAACAAACAGTCTGCTTTCCTAAGTTAGAACTTTCTCCATTCCAGTTAAGGAATTAAATAATAAGACATTGTCTATTATTGCGTTTCTCTATTATTGTGTCAGCTTTAAATAAAAATCTTGATTAGTTCACATAGATGTATTTATGCATTTTTATACATGAGATATAAAAATGCACATTGAATTTGATTTTTTCAATTAGACACAATTAGAATGTAACAAAAAATAAGTGTGACACTGTCAAATTTATATAAATTTGCCATGATTTCATATCTCATGGGAGATCATGAGGTATTTCCAAATCTTACTAAGTAATAAAAACAAAATATGATTTCATGAACAAGGTGTTATCTCCAGTGTCACAATAACTGCACCCAAAAATCAGGCACACAACTGAGCATAAAATATGTGTTAGTAATAAATTTGGATTTCAAACAATTATGTCTCGCACCTATCTTGTAATTTCCATATTATTTTTTATCTGATATTAAGGGCCATAGATTTAATGATATTTTGAAGATGTCCAGTATAATTTTTAGTTTCCTAATGCACCCACATTTGGATGTATGAAATGCAAGATAAGTTATGAAGAAAGAGTAAGAAGAAAATCCAAATACATAATGTGCATACAAAAAATACCAAATTCTCTTGGATTGCACCAGTTGTATTCCAAAGACTTTTTCTTTCTTTTTTTTTTTTTTTTTAATTCCTTCTTTCATCTCAGACAATATTCAGGTGCTGCTTAATAGCCACTATTCAGTGTCATTGAAATGTTCACTGGTGAGGTTTTTGTTTCATTCAACTATTACTACTTCCATTTTTATTTGACTTCATGAATTTAAGCCTTGCAATTTATCTTAAAAGCATGTAATAAGAATCACAGAACCATGAAATATCCTGAGATGGAAGGAACCCAAAATGATCATCGAGTTTAACTCCTGACCCTGCACAGGGCAATCCTAAGGATGACATGCTGTGAGAGCTCTATCCAAATGATTCTTGAACTCAGTTGGGCTTGGTGCTGTGACCAATTCCTGGTGAGCCTGTTCCAGTATCCAGCCACTCTCTGGGTGAAGAACTTTTCTTAATGCTTAACCTAAGTCTCCCCTGCCACAGTTTCCCTTGGGTCCTGTCACTGGCCACCACAGAGAAGAGATCAGTGCCTGCCCCTGCCCTGACCCTCATGAGGAATCTGTAAACCACAATGAAGTCGCCTCCAGGCTGAAAAGACCAAGTGACCTCAGCTGCTCCTGGTATGGCTTCTCCTCTAGACCTGTGTCTAAGAATGAGCTTTTTTGCAACATCTTCTGTGGGCAGATTTCTAGGGAAAGTCAACTAACTTGATACCCTATATCCATAGGATTTAAGAAAAATAAGATTCTTTACCCAGCCAGAGCAAGAGCATTTGTAAATAGAAACAGGGAATCATGTCATACTTTAATGGCTGCTTAGTAAATTAATCTGCAGCTACCTCTGAAACATATTTTAATTTTAAGGCTGGGGAATATGATGAATGCCATAAAAAGGATGCCCTGAACACAGCTCCAACATATTCATGTGTGTTTGAACCTCAATGGTGTGTGTCTGTTCTTTATGTTTAAAACTACTATTCTAAAAGAAAGAGAAAAAAAGGTACATTTTGAAAGACCAAAAAAAATCCACTTTATCTGTAACACTTTTTAATGCCCACATGGTAGTGAAAAGTAGGGAGATAATATGTGGATTATTTAAAATTATTGCATATCTTCTTGCTTAGAACATAAGTAATTACATTAGTACATTTGACTACAAAAACAAGAAATAAATTCACATTACTTTGTTGAATCTGTGTTAGTGGACATCCTTGGTGTGTAATTCAGATTAATATTTATAGCTCTGCATGAATTTCTTGTACTTGGCTCTGTAAATTTAGCTTGGAGGACACCAACAACTGTGCTTAGTTTGTGATGCAAAGTCCAAATGAAAAAAGTCCATGCTGATTGAAGTCCAAAATTATTTCAAAATATAAATAATTTGTGCCTCTGTCTTTCCAAAGTGGCTGAACTTAAAAAAGCATTCCAAGTTGTTTTTTTTTTTTAAAAAAAAAGCCTCTCAGCTTCAAGATATGGTGTTTCTACATTATAATGTGAAAGATGAACTTGCACATGTATGTACATAATTTTTTTCAAAGCAAAAAAGCCTCTTTTAACTTTCATATTAAAATCTAAGTCATGGTTGAATCTCCTAGAAAGATTCCTCATCTGTCCATTGGAATTCTGGCCTTGCATTCATGGTTTTCCACATCTTTTTAAATGCAATTCTAAATATTTTCCTTTCTTCCAAGAATAATATTTTGAATTAGCAAGAGACATTTACTTTTTACATACTTTTCTGTATTCAGACGTTCTAAGATCCTTCCAAACAAATCAAATTGACAGCGTATTGGGGGCTGCTTGCTGAAGCAAAAGGCAGAAGTACTGGTCACAAAGACAACCACTTTAGTACTTGAAATACCCATAGGAAAGTTGCATCAAAAAAAACATTATCTCATGTGAGGGAAGATGGGCTTTTGAGGCAACTAGAAAATTATCCTAGGAGGTAACTAGAATTGATGAAGAAAAACATGTCCTTTGAAATAAGAAATAGCTATTAGGGTCTAAGGAAACATTAAACTAATAAATGGTCAGATTGATGCAGGAATTGCAATGCTCACGTATTATTAGATACTAACATAAAAGATATGGCCCAGATTAAACAAAGTCAGGGTTTGTGCCTAATTTAAGTAGACCCAAAAAAATATTTAAAACATTATTACACCGTCAATAGGTGACATAGTGTCTGTAATCCCAGTTGAATCCGTGGAAATATAATTGTCTGTCCAGAAAATGACAAAAGAAAAATATCACAATACATCAAAATCTTACTTAGTTCATCAGAGAGGTTTTTTTGCTTTGCTTTTAGTTTTTGTTTGGTTTTTTGCTTGCTTTTGTGAGTAGCAATATCTAGAGTAGAGGCAAATTTTACATTTTAGCAGTGTTTTTACAATAGTTCCTGGCTTTATTTTCCTAAACTGCACATAGATAGTTTCTGGCTTTACTACCATTATGTACTGGTTTTGTGACATTAATTTGAGATGCTGTAGATAAGAGAAGCAATTCCATTCATGAAATCAAATTCTGCTTGTAAGTATGCCTTTCAAGAAAAAGGAAGATCTGTATTTCTTCTAAGTGTTTTCAGGTCGTGCATCTGTGTTAACTCAAATAATGGAAGCCAGGATTGATGATTGGCTGATTCAGTGAAGCTCTTGCCAAGAATTTTCAGAGATTAGGAGGTTGTTGGAAAGATATCAATGAAGGTTTAGGGATCACTGTATGAACTATTCTAAATTAACAGCTAATGGATGTTTTTAATAGCTCTTTTATAGATGAGTGCAGCTGAATGAAAACTGACAAGAAAGCTCAGCTTTGCTTGGTATGAGCTTTAACTTTTTTTCACACATGATGACCTGCCTCTGCACTTGCTTTCTCACTTTATTTCTGCATAGGGTAAAAATTCATTTATTTTATAGTTAATAAACATATCCATGCAGACTTTGATCTTTTTGGGGTTATTTTGGTTTTTTTGTTTGTTTTTTTTTTTTTAAGTAGTAGAGAATATTGTTTCCTAAAATGCTGCATATACTCAGTGCTGGACTACTTTTCCAAAGATTTGTTCATCCATCTTGCTGTTTCTGGCAAAGTTCAGTTCTTGCAGAAATAGTGAGCAGATATGAAAAAAATGAATACTCTTTGATTATAGCTGGTGTAATCAAGTTGTCTGACCTTCCTGGTGCACAAAGAGACATGACTTGGGTATTCAATATTCAATTTCAGTGGCCCAAAGAGATGAATAAATATAAGGGAGACAGAGTTCATATGAAAGTATACCATTGGGACAGAAAATAAATGTCTTGAGGTTGTTTTTTGCACTAGAGCTCATGTGATTCTGATCATCTCCACTGACGCCAATGGGCTGTCAAAAGACAGTATTTTTGTCATAGAACAGGGACAGATGTGACATCATTGCTTCTGCCTAGTTCACAGCTGTTTAAAATTATCTAAATGTTTTAACTCTCAAAATTTTGCCAAGAGGGATTCGGTGACTACCTCTTTCAGTATAGAACTCTATTTGTGCTTTTATGTGTGCTCTCTGTCATTTCTGCACTATAAGCATATCAGATGAATAAGAAATATAGTTTAAAATTTTGCATTTACCTTAAGGTAGACAAAATATTCAGGAAAGAAACATCTTTTCTTCATACTGAGGCTTTTCTGTTAATATAGAAACAAATTTTTAAAATATCCAAATGAAAAACAACACATATTCTTAAAATTGACCTGACATCAAAGACATGCCAGTTGCACATAATTTTAGAACTATTTGTCAAATTTCTATTTTTACTCACAGACAGGCTGTGCAAGGAAAACATGATGTTAGTGTATGCTTATGTGTGGATAGCTAAGTCAAACTACATATTTCCAGTGACTGAAATTGTGGCTTAGACATCTAGAACCAATGTGAAAAATACATTTAGACAATATATTTTGGTGTCTGAAACGAGTGGAATCCTGCTATAAAAATCTTTAGATTATGTATCAATAAAATAACAGTTATTTCATTGTATTTTATCTTGTACTATTGTAGTACATTCTGTAATGATGAATTCTGAGAGCTATCTCCTATTGATTGATATCATCCCACAAGGACATAAATTCACTGCTTTCATTTTTAATAAGTGCTATGAGAAGCAAGACATTTCAAACTTTTTACAGGCCTTTAAGATTAAACGTCTTTATGTGAATCTGAGTAACATCTCAAGCAGGGATATAGGTAAAGTATATAAGGAAGCATTACAAAATATTTCAGTCTTTATTATTAAGACTAATTGCCCTATTATGATCCTTTATTTGTAAGAAACCATTAACTTCTTAATGCATTGTGGGCAATAAGATTCTCATCAACATATTCTGTAGTATATTTAAATTTTCTTTGATTCAATCAATGGCTTTCAATGATTCAATCAATAAAAAATAAGGAGAAACGGGATTGTCTGATTTTCAAAAGGAAGCATATATTGTGGATTTTCCCTGATACTATCACAACAAAAAATAATTGAAAAAACACAATCGTATTGAAGGAATATTTTAATTTTTTTTTAATTTTCAAAAAAGCCTCAGTAATTTCATGCAATATCAGTAAGGATGTGCAAGTGATTCCTACCCCAAGAAACCTTCACATAGACAAAGAGAAAGAAACAGCATTAGTACTGTTTGAATCTTCAGATCTAATTCATCTTTCATTTTGCTTTTTTGCTTTTAATATTTATACCCATTATGGTCAAGTTTTTATATCATGATGGTGCTTTTTAAGGCAAAAAGGCTGACTTCAATGATAGAGATCTATCTCCAAAGTGCCAGTCTGTCTTTTTAAAAAAATGTATATGGAGTATGATTGAAAAGAAAGTACTAGCTAAGTGGAGGTACAGCTTCCTTCCATCTAGTGAAAGCTAACTCCTCACAACTGTATTTTTAAGCTAACACCAAATATTTTAAAGGAAAAAATCTCAGCGAGAAAAGCAGCATCAACATTTTTAACAGATTCAAGGTCCCTATCAAAACAAGCATTCAGAAAATTTGTTCTTTCAAATTGGAGAAGAGTGCAGCAAAGCATGATTTTAACACATAACTAGGGAAGATATGCATGAATTCCCATCTTAAGCTCTGTAACTGAGTGGCATCTTTGGAAGAATGTATGTAATGTCTTAGCAGCTACACTTACGACCTCTGAAACTAGGCTTACCAGCTTCCCCAGGTCTTGCACCTTTTCTCATAATATTTTCCTATCACTTTTTTACTAGTTTGATTGCTCTTCATTAATGCTTAAAAAAATCTTATATTAGTAATGCAGATTTTGCTGGTACTTTACGTGGGTGAACTGTTCAAACAAGACATGAAGTAAACACCTTTGGGTAACTGATGAATGACCTGAAGCTTCTAGGAGCTAGTGGTAGTTGACAAGAGAACTTCAAAAATTTAAACAAAGGGCAAAATAATAAGGCCTTGAATTTGATGCATAAGGCAATGGGAAAAACAGCTGGTGCTGGCACCAATGGAGATGGGGAGCACTCAAAGTCCTTTAGGCAAGCTAGATAACCAGCACTGTGCAAAGGACCACTGCCCACTTGGTGACAACTTTTTAGGCCTTTAATTGAAGCATCTGAAGCTCCTAATTTCTCATATAACCTTCCTTGAACCAGGGCTGCTGTAGATGATATTGCCTACATTTGGAACAGATATTCTGGATGCCACCAGGCTATGCCAACCTAGGTCACTCCCATAAGGATCTATGAAGTCAGGAATGAATCTCCTGCTGAAAAATCCTGTGCAGCACAGGTATCAGAAAGCTTTAGGGGGCTGTGTGACAATGCATTCCCCTCAGGAAGAAAAACATCTTGACTGAAGGAGTCCAGAGACCATGAAACACCTGCAAAAGTGCCTCCAGATGAAGCACACTGGCTGGAGCGGTCCATCAAAAGCAATCTAACAGAGCATTGTGGGCATTGTCATCACTATCACTGGGACTTGTAAGAAGGGTTTGAGGACATTTGTATTATCCAATTTGTACCATCATATTAAAATACTGCGGTGCATAGTACTGGAAAATGGTATCTGGGAGTCATTAATAAATACCTGGGCCAGAACAAGGCAAGGTTATCACCTTTTTGTCAAAGTAATAGAGATACTTCCATTAATAGATGACCCCAATCACCGTTGGACAATAAATATAAAAGCATACAGATGAAAAGGTTTTTCAGACTACAGAATAATAGGGAGATATTACAAGTTGGTTTCACAGATCCAGACAAAGTTAATTATTAGTAACGATTCTTTTTTGTCATAAGAATTGCAATAATATTGAATAGAAAAGGATATATCTACAAGAGCATTTTAATTTCTTAAACTCTCCTTCCAGATATGGGAGAAATATATGGAAGTGAGTCTGTATTTCCTGACCTTGGCAGATCAAAACGCAAAAGGTTTTGCCCTCAAATGTCACCAGTGGTTTGGAGTGAAGAACCTTTTATTAACATTTTCAGAGTTTCTGGGTATATTCCCTTTAAGAATTTCCTTTCTAAAATCTGCATGCTAAATTATTCTGCAGCCCCTTCAGATCACCTATGTTCCATTGAAGCAGGACACATTTTTGCTTAAGTTATGCAGAGGAACAAATCCTCAGTTTTTAGCCTTCAGCTGGTTTCTAAAAAGTTAGGGTGGAAGAAAGAAATTTTCTGTAATGTTCAACTTAAAAAATAAAAGCAAACAAAAAACAAAACCCTTTTCATATTAAACATAACAATCTAGGCAGAAAAGTATATAAAAATAAGTACTACACCACTGCAGACAAAACATCTATATTTTAAAACATATTGGACTATGTGGTGAATTGAAGAAAGTTTGAAAATTCTTGGCCTATATTTTAAAGAAACAGATGCAATCTTAATTTAAATATTATCAAGTAACTAGTCTTCTTGGTGTGAGAAATATTTGGTTCTTATCTATTAAAAAAATTTAACCTTTCAAAAATTCTTAAAAAGAGCCATGATATCTATTAAGGAAGAACATGATCATACAATTAGTGGGGTTTATGCTTTATCTACCTATTGTATTTTGACAAAGAAAGCAAAGAAATGTTCCTTAAAATGATTATGTAGTAGCCTGATTAATTTCTTTAATCTTAAAGTAAAAGTCTGAAATGGGTTAAGTGCATTTTATACAAATACCTCTCTCTTATTCCAATATGAACCAGACAAGCACATACCATTTTGGCAGATGGTTAAACTTCATCAGTGTCAGGAGAAGGTGGAAATACCTTGGTTATAAGAATAAAAGAGTTTAACCTGGTTTAAATTTGCCAGACAAACTTATATGTTTGTCTGTATCTCATAATCTTCTAGATTTTTTTAGCAGAAATTGCTTATTTCAGATATCAAATAATTGGTTTGATTGACTTTTTCCTGCTAGACTAGATCAACGTAAGTAAATACGTATGAGTATTTAGTTATGGTCTATATATATAATATGGAAATAGTCAATTAAAGAAAAAAAGCTACATACAACTGCTAGAAAACAAGTAAAACAGCTAAATTGCAAAATTAAATACATTAAAAGCATTAAATGCAGCCCTGTTTTAAACAGAGTCTGTTTGTAGGTGATGCTTTCCATGCTGATAGCTTCCAGTGGCCTTTTAAGCTTTCAGGTGCACACATTCGTATTTAGGTATCTGTTTAATAATAGTCTGTCTTTAAGGATTGTAATTTGTATAAGAACTAATGTAATTTTTATTCACGTTAAGTGATTGCTGTTGTATGCATAAAATGTGGATAAAAAGTCACACATTTGGCTGTTGATCTGTACTTACCTCTGATTTTTGCCTTGTGAATGAAAATACAAAAGCTTAAACAATAAAGGAATATTTGGATTTCTTTTACTTTCATATATGTAGCATAGAATTTGGGAGCATTTATGTCTATTTTTTATACACTTGCTAGGAAATCTATATATAATGACTGAATTTAGTAGTATCATGATGTCATGCATATCTTTCATAGTTTAACATATATTTTTGGGAAGGAAAATAGAATTTTCTGTAGGGTCACTTCTTGAATCCCAGTAATAAGAATTCCCACAATGAATGCAAACCGGATTACAGTATCAATGTCAAAAAAAAAAAAAAAAGGAATAGTTTGCATTGGTGGTCCCTTGTCTTTATTCCCCTTGCCTTGCCTTGCATCCACTTCATTCCCTCTTCCTTCCCTCCCCTTCCTTTTGCTACTTAAGAATTTTAAGAACAAACTATTGACTTACCTGCAAAACCCATTAAGCCTTCAACTCAAAGATGTTATGACAGAGTTTGTAGGCAATTTATCCCTTGGGAAAAGCAGACATCAAAATTCCTCTAAGGAAATTATAGGTTTACTGGTTAAGAAAATCTCAAAAGGCTTCCTCTCATCCACTGTGAAATTTGAGGGATTCACTTTCAGTTCAGCTTTTGTCTCCCAATGCATTCCTTTCCTACATCTAGAAAAGAACCCCAGATATTTGGATGGGGCTCTTGTGTAATCAAATAAGGACTGAAGATATCTGTGGTTTCATCCAACTGACCAAATTAAATGGATGGAAACCAAAGCTAGCAATATAGCCTTCTGAGACATTTAGGATATTTAAAAGCTGTCCACTAAGAATGTTGATCTTAATGCAATTTTCAGTCTACACAAAGATAAAACAGAAGAAAAGCAGTCCAGCACCAAGAAGTTGCAGAGCTGCTCAAGATATTAATTTTAAGATGCTTTTGAGAAAGATAGAAACTATAAAGGTGTATAGGAGTGAGCTGGATTTAATTTTTACCACAGCACCCCTTACAGTGCTGTGCTCTGCACTGGTTGCTGGAAAGGTGTTGGTAACACATCAGTGTTTAGGCTTCTTCTCACAGGATCAGCACTGTCTCTCTAATATCCCCTCCATCAAGGGACTAGGAGTGGGCAAGATACTGGATGCACAACTCAGCCAGCAGACCCAAATTAACCAAAGGGGCATACTATATGATGTCAGCTCAGATATAAAAGCTAAGGAAAGAAGAAGGAAGAGGGGGTCATTGTTATTTACAATGTTTGCTTTCCAGAGCAGCTGCTATGCCTGCTGAAACTCTTTCTCCCAGGAAGTGGCTGCCATTGCCTGCCAATGGGAAGTAAACAATAAACCTATTTCTTTTCTCTTTGCTTGCGTGCATGCAAACATTCACTTTTCTCTTAGTAAATTGTCTTATCACAACCTCTGACTACATTCCATCTCATTTTCCCTTCCCTGTTCAGCTGGGCACGGAAGTGATGGAGCAGCTTGGTTGCACCTGGTGAATGGTGGGCACCTGGCATCCAGCCAAGGTCAACCCACCACAGATGGGAACAGGGTTAATTAATCAAATAAGTCCAAACTCAGAAGATACAGCAATACAGACAACGTTCCCCATGATAGAAGAGGTATTGTCTCTAATATATCATTTGGGATGTATCACTACGGAGACAAAGTTCAGCTGTACTTAGAGGGTGACTATCTGACAGCAAACCTTTTTCTTATAAACTCAGGAAGAATGTGTATTTGAAAGTACTTAATGCCATTTTTAAACAAATAAATAAAATAATAAAAGAAGTGCAATGCAAGCAAAAAAAAACAACTTAAAAACCCCAAATGCTTAACTGATTATTTTTGTGGCATGTGAAGGGAAATCCATGCTCTGCTATTTGTTAGGCTGGATCCTTTTACCACCTGCTTGTAGACCAGGGAAAGGCTCCCAGCTCCAGGCATTGCCCATGTTGGGTGTCCACAGCCTCAAAACAAACCAAACTAACCACTAAGAAAACATTCTTCACTTTTCCTACATGACAGCTCCATGCAAATGTTGATCTGATAGTTTCCTTGCTTCATCTGTATTTTTTAAAAGCCCCACAAACATCTCTACTAGAAAAATTCCTCTAGAGTGTAATATTTGGGGATTCATTTGTACATACATGCAAACTTAGGGCACGTCTAGCGTACAGTCACCTCTAGTTTGCCTCACACTTTCTTCTTTTCCCTTCTGTTACCAAAAAAAAAACATTCTTTAGGTTTAACAAGTCTTTCTCTCCTTTAAGTCCACTCAAGCATTGTTTTGCTGGCCTTGTGATGTACCTACTCACCACAGGATCAAGATCATAGACCAAACATTTTCAAAAAATCAATTCATAGCAGTGAGATTTTCTATGGGAAGATAAGGCATCCCAGGAAACAGAGTTCCCTAACATGAGAATTGACATTGCAAGACTGCCAACATATATTAGATATGACCTAAGACTGAAATAAATTATCAGTATTAATTTATAAATATATTTTTAAAACTAATACCTTTAAAGGTACCGTTAACAAGATGATTTTTAATGAGAAGCTTGATTTAGTAGAAGCAATTTATCATGAACTGGTTCAGTCACTCACAAGACTTACTCACCTACCCACTTCTGCACCAGTATCCACTACTCTGAGGGACATCCCATGACAGATACATTGTGCCAGATGAAAAAGCCTCAAAGTGCCTAAATTCAGCCTGGATATCACCCTAAATATACTGGCAGGCTTACAAATTAATGCTTTTATTAAAATTATGCTAAATTGCAATGGCCTTCCTATAGAATCTTGCATTATATATGCCTGAATACCAAAAGAATTCATCATGATTAAAATTATTGCAAGAAATACCAAAGGAAGTAAGAATGATTTGCCACTTATTATAAATTGTTGCCCATTTTGCAATAAGGGGCCAATCATTACTAATTCATTTGATATTTTTTATAACATTAATCATGACTAATTCATTTGGTATTACTAATGTGGATATAACGTGAAATTCCATTGCAATTTAGGTATTTATTTAAATGTATCATTAATTTAAGGAGTTATCAATCCAAAACGTCAGCAGTTTTAGTCAAAGGCTATATGTAAGGCACCTTCCTTTACTTTTACTTAGGAATTCCCTCCTTTTTTTTTTTATGGTACTAAATGATACAGCATGTATTAGATTTATTTTTAGACCTGAAAAAGGCAGAAGCAGAGTAATCTACAGTCTAGAACCCCAGTCTTTCACCGTGTATGAAACATCCTGCTTTAAATGACCTGCTAACATATTTAAGCTAAGCACATGTTTAAAGACTTTAGTCTGCCAAAGTAGCTTTCATGTTTGGAAAAATTGTGGGGAAGAGACCATTTTGACAGCCTGAGGATTTTATAAGTCCTATGGACCTTCTCACAAGTTTGGAAATTTTAGACAGTACCAATTCTAAAGTCCAATGTCTAAAAAGAATCCCTTAAAAACTATACTTTTTCTGCTGGAAGAATTCACTGTCATGTTTCCATTAGATAAAACATTTGCTTCTTCATTTGTTGAGCAGCACCACTTTGCTCTGTCAAGCAGTGAGACACCTTCTATGCTTTTACATGGAGTTGTTTTCTTTTCCATGTATGTGTAAATGGATGAAACCAAGAGCTAACAAGAAGTCAAGGAATGTTTATAGGACAACTCATATTGGCTTTAAAAAATTCACAGAAGTATAAGAGCCGAGGTTCAAGCCATTCACAGAGCAGCAGAAACCCTCGGCAGAGGAGCAGGTTATTCACCACAGCACATCAACGGCCTCCAATGAAAACCAGAGATCCACAGACAAAAGTTCTCATGAGAGAAACAAGAAGAGAAAAGTACAGATAAGCCAAAAAAACCCCAAAAATACTAACTAACAATGTTAAAAAAATTAAAAAGTGAAAATTAATCTGCAGCTCCTCAGATTACTGTGGGAAAATTTGTGAAGATTTTTGGTGTTTTAGGCTGCATTAGTCTACTAGAAATGTTTTCTTTTATGAGATTTTTTTATATTGCTGGTGTCCTTGTAAGAATACAACTCGAAAGGCCTCATATAAGTTCAAACAATCTTCTCTGGCTCTCTAAACACTCAATGCCAGCACCAAAAGTCAGATATTCATGACTATCTGGGACTATAAATGTTATTGGATGAAGAACAAAGGATTAGCTAAACATCATACCTGTCGTAAAATTCCTCATTTACTGCAATTTTTAGTTGCTTTTCTTATTTTCAGCCAATTAAACCATTAGCCAGAGCTTGGAACTCACCAGTGATGCACTTCTTACGCTCACAATATGCTTTCATAGGTTTTGCTTTAACTATTTGATGACCACAAAGGGAAACTGCTGTCTCCAAACCATCAGCAGGAATTTTGTCCAGAATCATGAATCATGAATAGAGAGGAAAGGTAGTATAGGTCAACAACTACAATCTTTCTTCTCTAAATCCATTCCAGTGACTCTTCTGGTAACCCCTGCCAGCAGACAGCACAAGACATCGGTATTGAGGGAAGATATGTCCCACTTCAATAGTGCAAGAAGGGGTTACTTCTGTATTTATAACAGTTTTTATCACTGCCATCTTAATTTCAAAATCCATAGCTGGTGTTATTTAATAAATCTGGACAAGATTAAAAAAAATTTAGACAGTTTTCAAGTTTTGGTTCACCACACTTCTGTGAGGGAGAAATTCTTCTGTGGGTGCCTGCTTATCACAATGTGATATGAAAAAGAAATATATATAAAACTGACATCCGCTTCAACTTTGCTATAGAATATTCAACACCTTCCACTTTCATTTGTATATTCAACGATAACATTTAAAATTACTGTGGTCACCCTAAAGGATGTTAATTACAATGCAACTCAGCAGCCTTTATACAATATAATTGCAGGTTACTAATGTTCATAGTATCCATTGAGGTTGTAATGGGGAGCAGAATTTAGCTCATGGATTTTGTGATGAAGGTCTTACAGCCATTTCTTGTTATTAATCCTCTTTAATACTCCCTACGCATCATCTTTTGTTTGTTCCCTTAATTCAGAGTGAGTTTTAT